CTCTGCCACCCTGTCGTAAAGTCTGCTGTACTTAAGCATAGTCTAATGTCTTGGAAATACGACCTTACTAACTTAACCACTACTCCAGGCACTCTAAAATAATCAAATGCCTCCCAAATAAGGCTGTGTGGCACTGAACCAAACGCATTTGCTAAATCCAAAAATATGACATGCAAGTCTCTTTTCTCATTCAATTAACATTCCTCCAAACCTGTACTTATTGACTCCATTTGTGCCTTCATCTGCTATTGCACCAATGTTCGCCATTTCAAGCCTCAATACATTCGTGGCTTGCTTGCTGGGATCCAGGTTAATGTTAGGTGTTTTGATCCCTTGTCCAAGCTTTTTTGCCAATCCAGTAATAAAATTGCTACTGAAAGGTATTTCCAAATGCTTCCCTTCTGTTCCTGATATTAGACGCCCCATCACATTGCCTATTCTGCATAAGATGATTTCTGTCCTTCGCTAGGGTCTGTTTTCCCATTATATTGATTCCCTTCTGATTAGTTCATTTTTACTGGCATTTTACGGGTTTCTAAGAATTGGAGAATTCACTACCCCATCTAATTTATTCAATCCTGATAGAGATATTTCTTTTTCTGACTTGGTGTTTCACCCTAGTGACTATGGCTTATTGCTTAAGCATTCTAAAGCTAAAGGGCCTTGTTCTATTAATATATATAGCTCACATCAAGTCCCCCTTTTGTCCTTTTAAAACCACGGTAAATTATTTTCACCTCAGATCCTCCACTAATTCACCATCACCTCTTTTTATAACCCCAGGCAATAATCCCATGTCAAAGTTCTGGTTTACTTATCATTTTAACAAAGTTCTCCTTAAATGTAATGTATCACGTCAGTATCACTCAGGTCATTCATGTAGAATAGGGGCAGTCACCTCTGCCGCAATGCAAGGAATTTCTTCAGCCTCTCTTCAGCAGCTGGGCTGCTAGTCTTCTGCCTACTCCACCTACATACGACCTGAATCTGCCTCAGTACTAGCTGCTCAAAGATCTCTTAAACCCTGATCATCATGTAGTCATGCATATCCTGGTGGTGTTTCTGTCCTCATCCTCTTATGATCATGCTTTCTTTTCCTCTGTATCATTTGGCTATTTGTACTTGCATCATCGTTGCCTGTGTTCCCTGCATCATAAGTCATTATTCCATCGCATGTTTATTAGCATTTCGTCTCCATCAAGAATTCATTACCTGCATCATAGCTATTATTTTGCTGCATCATTGCTATGGCTATACCCCTGCACCATTAGCCAAATTCCCTGCATCATTGCTATGGCTATACGCCTGCATCATTGCTATGGCTATACCCCTGCATCATTAGCCAATTCCCCTGCATTGTTAAGGAAATTCGTTATTTCCCCTGCATCATTGCTCACTATTCTCCCTCGCAGCACTGCTGGGTTTTCCACTACGAAATATGGCTATCTCCTCTGCATCAATATTTGCCATTTTCCCCTGCATCACTCAACACTGCAACACTCTGTTATCTCCCACATTTTGTTCTTTGTCCCTTACATCATCATTAGGTCCTCCTTTATAACTGGCCTTATTCCCTGGCATTTGGTTTCATTCACTGATCATCGTGCAATACATAACTGTTAACATGTTTATAAATGTTGTTCTCACTTCTGCTCTTCTCCTCCCTCTGCTGGGCAAGTGCTGCACAGTCGGGTATGGTATACCTTCTATTTTGGAAGGACCTTAACCTATGGATCTTGTTCACAGTGATTCACTTCCTGCTGGGGTCTAAGCTCCAAAAATCTATTTCTTCTGTTCACAATAAATTCCATTTTACTTTCATTCTCATACTCTCTTGTTCTTCTTATTAGTCTCTTCTGATTGAACTATTTATTGGATAGAAGTTGTTTCTTTAAAAGTAAACAAAACATGCAAACAACCACATATACATCCTGCTAAATAAGAAAAACTCTGGTAGTATTACTACTCTACTAGTCTAATGATTTTCTGCTCTACTACAAAATGTGTACAATAAAAACGTTTATAGAAGTTTTACGGAAGCAAAACAGTTTCAATAGTACACAACAACTAATTTCATGTTATTCTCCATCCCATTAAAGCAGATTAATAGATGTGTTTATAAAGTACAACAAATTTAAAACAACTCAGCAAATCTCTGGATGACTGTTAGAGGTCTATGTTGAGGCAAAAATCAGATTTTTACAAATGACACGGATACTCGACATATTCAGACCATACAGTAAAGGGTTGAAAAGTGGCTGGCATGTAAGCCAGTATAATGATAAAAAAATGCGCAATTTATTTGGTACGTTGCTCATATTAAACCGGCTCTGTAATATTTCAAAGAAAGCCCCGAAGGAGAAGTTGAGCAGAGAAGCAAGGTGAGGTGTGCAGGTACTGATAGCTTTCTGTCTGGTCTGTTTACAGCCAGAAAAACACACTTTAAGGATCTTTATGTAAGTGTAAAGGATTAAGATTACAGCACATAAGATTGTAAGAGATGTGGCAACAAGTCCATAGATGTTATTGACAGTTGTGTTAACGCAGGCCAGTTTAACAATATAATAATTGTCACAGTACACTTTGTTAAGAATGTTCCCACACAGCTGTAAAGGGGCAATAAGTGCTATTGGAGCCATACATAAGATAGAAGCATATGACCATGTTAGAGCAATAAGTACTGTTATCCTGCTATGTGTCATATGTATGTTATACTGTAGTGGATAACAGATAGCGAGGTATCTGTCATAAGACATGATGGCTAAGTTAAAAAATTCAATGCAGGCATAAGAGTAAAAACAGAAAATCTGCAGGAAACAAAAAGGCACAGAAACAGTGTGAATGTCAGAGAGGATCTGAACCAGCAGGAATGGAAACAACCCTGTACTACCATACAGTTCATTTACAAACAGGCTGCACAGGAACAAGTACATGGGTTCATGTAAGCTTCTGTTCTGACAGATAACCACAATCAGCAGAACATTGGCACAGATAATTAGAAGATATAAAAACATGACAATCATGAAAAACAGGTATTTGAAAACCCCAGTGTGAAAATAGGCAGCAAGTGTGAAATATGAAACCTCTGTAGAGTTCATTCTGATCCTCCTCACACAGAATTCAGTGTAATGACAAAAGTCAGATGATCAAGAAAACAATTGTGACAGATACCCCAAACTAATATAATGCGTAGATCAAAAATAACATTATAAATCACCATTAGTTTATGATATTGGGCGGATCCTAACATTCACCTGTTGCAGTGAGACTGAATCCCTCCTAACTGAGTTGAAACTCTGCTCCTGCATCTTTTAACCTTTTCTAGTCAGGGGACACCCACAGCAGGAGACTGACTTCATTATCAGAGGAACCACTAAATGACTCCAATTTCTAACCTCAGGGGAAAAAAACTAACTTTGTAAAGAAACCTCCTGTTTGCAATTTGGGAAAGATGGCTTAAAAAAAGGAAGCATTATTGTTTCCTTCTATAGTTCTTGAGTAGTTACTATAGAGAGTCCATTCTGAAATGAACCAGACATCAGGTGGTGGTATAAAGTGAAAACCAATTGTTTAGTACAATATAACCTACACTGTGAGACCAACACTGTCTCCAACACTGTGGTGGGCACTATGGACAGATTTATAGCAAGTGCACAGGAAAGAGAATGAAGGCATACAAAGCTGCAGGTGATGGTTCTTTGTTAAAGTTGTTCTGGGCTTTACTGTTTGTCACCATTGTACAGAATTTTATTGTTTTCTACCTTCTCTTTGTTGTTGTTCTTCTGGTCTTTATAAAATTAATTTCAGTTCTGATCATCAGTGTGTTTGGGAAGGAGGCAGAAAAGTAAGTGATTGGATCAGGGGTACTACATACCAATGATCTAATCATCAACAATCAACAACCTCGACAAGCTGAGCCATGAATTTTGACTTCTCCAGGCTTTATACACCATCCAGCTTCAACTGCAACATGAAAGGCCCATAGTAATGCCAGCAGCACTGGGACACTGCAAAGAGCTACAGCTATTCCACATAATATAATATACAATAACAGCTTAGATTTCCTCTGAGCCGCAGGGACCTGTTTGGCTTATGTTGGTGACAACTGGAAGTAAATATTACATGACATAACACAATACAGACCAGTACGAATTATTGAAGTTTAGGGCTGATTGGGCACTGTTAGGAAAGCCAATGATACCCCAACACAGAGACGTTTTTGCAGATGAGCTACTGGGCTAAGTAGTGCATGGTTATCAGCACATACTGACTGATGTACTCTGTGGAAAGGGACCCAAAAGGTCCCCCTAACTGTTCAATGGAAGTCGCACTTGATAATGTTATATGGAGGCATGGGAGGAACAAGATGGGCCATTCTGGGTGGAGTATCTGTCATAGGGTTACCCTTTGCCCTCAAAAAAGTAGGTTGAATCCAGGTCTTGCACACAGTCAAGTGGCCATTCATTCGTAATTTTGATTCCATCAGGCTGGCTGATGGGATTGTTGCTTGTGTTGAGGTTGACATGGTTTTTGCACTACTTTCCAAATGTTTTGTGTTGCATTAGCACTAGTGTTAGCATTAGCATTTGTGTTAACATGTCAGCTAGCATGAGTTAAGGGCTAAATCAGTGAGCTTGCTGGGCTTGGGAAAGGGATCACAAGGAAGTTCACTGAGGAAGTACAAACAGGGGACACACTCTGAATTACCAAAGCGTTGTAATAATTTGGCTTACCAAGTGATTTGTCTTCTTCTTCATGCAGAGTTTCCTGGTCCAACTGTCAAACCAGAAGTGGCAGGATCCAAGGCCTTTCGTAAAGGGGGGGCCTGGAGTGTTTCATGTGAGGGCCAGTGGAGAGGGGTGGTTCTGGTAGTGATTCATAGATGTGTTTTTTTTAGGGCCTAATGAGCATATGAATAGGCTGTTGGGGTATTGCCGCTGAACATGGTTTCTTGTTGGAGCAGTCCTTCGGTATGGAGATAAAGATCGCTTTCGAGGAGCTTCAGCCATCTCTGTATTTCTGTGTTGCTAGTCGGGAGCTTTTTTATGTTGGGAGCTGTAGCGTAACTTCAAGCTCTGAAAGGAAGCTCTTCTTCTCCGTGGGACTGAGGGCAGACTCAACGCTACACTGACTCACACAGCATAAGTGTCATAAAGTGGTATTACCACACGGGACGGGATGCAGCTAGTTGGTTAGCATTTTCATTTCAATAGATACAGTATCTCTGAAATACAATAGATAGATGGCTTGACATCATCACGTTTGCTCCCTCACATAATATTAATAGTGTTAGTTCATTTTTTGAACATTTTAAACTAAAATTCTGGCCAGATCTTACACGTTGCACCTTTAACTGTCTGATAACCAAGAGGAACTGAATAAGCTTGTGCAATCCGGCTATGTTCAAACGACTCCCAGTGAGCAGGTATACAAACCACAGGAAACCTGGTATTTGTCACATCACATTGTTGAACACAATGACAAAAACAGAGTTGTATTTGACTGCTCCTTTGACTACCTGGGACAAAACCCGAACAAATGTCTTCTACCTGGCCCAACACTGGGTCCCTCTCTCCTTGGAGTTCTACTCACATTCCACCAGCATACCATTGCTATCTGTGGAGACATCAAAGGTAGATTCCATCAGGTATGTCTTTTGGATAAGGACAAACCTCTACTGCATTTCATATGGAGAGAGATGCAGCTAGACTAGGAGCCCAGTGTTTATGAATGGCAAGTCTTGCCATTTGGAACAGCCTGTAGCCCATGCTGTCACACCTATGCAGGTCACAACCATGTCCATGATCACCGTGATGGAAATTAGGAGATCCTTTAATCTGTCCAACATTGTTTTTATGTTGATAACTGTCTCCAAAGTTTTTCTTCCTCCCACGAAGCAATGTCCCTCATTGACAAAATGAGACCTCTGTTTGCTAATGTTGGGTTTGACATCAGACATCTCCCACCAAATGCAAAGTCCAAAACCAGTGAATTGTGGCTCTCAGAAAATGGTGACCCCAAAAAGCTGACACTAGGCTTCCAATGGAACTGCATCACAGGCATGCTGGGTAACAAGAACAGATCCATCATTTACCAACAACCTACATTGAGAAATATATGCAAAGTGCTGGAAAGTCAATATGATCATTTGGGCTATCTGACCCCTTTCAAAACGTGTGAAAGGATCGTAGTACAGGATCTATGGAAGCAGGAAAGGGGATGGGATAAGGACCATCACTGGCTATAAAGAGAAGAACAGCCAGGCAACATCAGGTTATGTGGACAAGGCCAATGAGTTCAACCTGTTCTACAACAGGTTTGACACAGCCTCTGACGATGGCCTTCAGTGAATTTTGAGGGAAGGACATTGAGGTGGTGTACACTTATAAATACCTAAGTGTGCACCTGAACAGTAAACTGGACTGGTCCCTGAACATGGATGCCATCTACTAGAAGGGGCAAAGCCAACTCTTTTTCCTCAGGAAGCTCAGGTCCTTTGATATCTGCAGTGAAATGCTGCACATGTTTTATCAGTCAGTGGTGGCCAGTGTACTCTTTTATGCTACAGTCTGCTGGGGCAGCAGCATGTCTGACCTGAACAAAAGGAGACTGGACAAGCTTGTAAAAAAGGCTGGGTCTGTGCTTGGCAGGAGTCTGGACTCACTCAGGACCGTTGTTGAGAGACACATGCAATGTAAGATGGAGGCCATCTTGGACAATACCAACCATCCTCTCCACAACATTCTGGCAGGACAGAGATGCAGCTACAGCTGCAGCAATCTTCTCATCTCACTGTGCTGCAGAACAGAGAGGTTCAGGAGATCCTTTGTTCCCACTGCCATCAGGCTATATAACACCTCAGTCAGAGGAATTGGACTAATTTAATTATTATAGATTTTTTATTATTAACTGTTATTGTTATTATCAACAATGAGTGATTGGACACATGCATTTCCCCTAGGGGATAAATAGAGTATCTATCTATCTATCTATCTATCTATCTATCTATCTATCTATCTATCTATATTAACAACCCAGCCAGTTTGTTGGAAAAATGGCAAGCATGGGAGTTTGAACTGTAAAACCTCGCTGACATTCACTTACATCACCATTATCTGCCCCATTGTGCCAAAGCCGCCACTTCAGAATCCCATTTCTGAGAGGTTGGGATTCTGAAGTGGTTCAGGAGATCCTTTGTACAGAGAGGTTCAGGAGATCCTTTGTTCCCACTGGCATCAGGCTATATAACACCTCAGTCAGAGGAATTGGACTAATTTAATTATTATAGATTTTTTATTATTAACTGTTATTGTTATTATCAACAATGAGTGATTGGACACATGCATTTCCCCTAGGGGATAAATAGAGTATCTATCTATCTATCTATCTATCTATCTATCTATCTATCTATCTATATTAACAACCCAGCCAGTTTGTTGGAAAAATGGCAAGCATGGGAGTTTGAACTGTAAAACCTCGCTGACATTCACTTACATCACCATTATCTGCCCCATTGTGCCAAAGCCGCCACTTCAGAATCCCATTTCTATGTATTCTGTGATGCCTCTGACTGTATGTATGGTGCTCTTGCCCACCTTCAGACCAAAAGACAACATGACCACACTATATAAGCTTCATTATGGCCATGTCTTGTCTAGCCTGTAAATGTCAGCTAGCCATCCCTCACCTTTAACTATGTGCAGCCCTATCTGGTGCCCAGCTGGCAAACCTTTTCAGTTCTGAAGTCACTCTTCCACAGCAGTCCCATCGTGGCTAACACCTGACCCCTGTCACTACAATTTGTTTGTTGGTAGAAGAATAGCTGAGATTCAGACTCAAAGAATAATCCAGCCAATGACATAACATGGGGCAAAACACTCCAAGAGCTTTTCCATCAGCAGAGATGGAGTCAGGGCCCTCCATTCCTCTTGCTCAACACCAATTGCTTGCTGGTCAGCCAATCCATGTGGGCCAGCTGAATAGGAGCCTGTTGAAGTACTCAGGAAATCCATGTTTTGTGGCGCAGTAATGTCAGATGACTGAAATTTCCCTGACCTGACCAAGTACAGCAATCCTGCGTGGATCCTGCGTGGCCACCAAGCCATTT